TAGTTTTAATTGGATATTATTTACATAATTTGCATAATGTTCCACTGATATATAAAAAGAAACACAAATTGGATTTTAATGAAACTTTTAAAGAGAACTATGCAGAAACCCAATTAGTTTTTGGTAAATATTTATGCTTATTAATCACCTAATTAACATAATTAATTAACACTGATATCTCAATTACTGATCATCACATTTGAATAAAATTTGGTACATAAATGCTCTAGGACAATAGACAGGCCTGATTAATTTTGATTAATATTAATTCTCTAATTAGCATAATAATTCATAATTTTTTTGTTCTGTTCTGTTCATATTAGTTACCTGATTTACATAATTAGTTTTCAGCTTTTCCATCAATATCTCATGTACTAGTAATTTTGAATTAATTTTTAATGTGTCTTCAATACTCTCAGCACACGGGAGTTCTTTCTAACCTTTCTTTGATTTACCATTACGCTTGCTGTTTTATATTATTAATTTACTATTAATGTACTATTGCTTTTGAGTCAAATAAATAAATAGGTTAAAGAAAATGATGGATGGCATTGAAACAGAAATTCAACTGATTTTAAAATCTAATTTGGAATTTCTAACTAAATTTTTACAAAAGTGCAAAATGGAGTTTCAAGAAGCGGTTGATGACATAGCCATCTACTTTTGTATATTGAGTGTATCTTAAACTCATTTTTTTAGTTTAATATATTTATAAATTGTGTTTGCTTATTAGGTTGTACACTATTGATGTACAGTGGTGTTCTATCATTGGGTATTGGGGATACAGCTGCTGCTCTCTTTGGTTCTATGTATGGGCATTATAAATGGCCAGGTATTACACTACACTTGCAAACCATAATTAATGCTAATCCTTGTTGGGAATGCTTTGTATTGCTGCCATTGTGTACAGGACAACGGTGTTACAAGACCAAGCCTAGTTTCATAAAAATTATATCATTTGTGGGTTTGTTATGAAATGCAAGTAAATATTTTTGTCATTTTTGGTAAGAAGGGTTATTTTTGACTTCTTTAAAATGGCTAGCCCATTGCTTTGATATTTTATGTGTAGACACCTTGGGTGTACTTCTGACAGATTTGTTCATTTTTCTGACAGGCTGCTTGTTATTCCATGAGTTGTTCTTTGACCTCATAAATCAAACCAGTTTTTGACCAATAAGAATCTTCTGTGTGGTGCATTGAAAAGTATTATGAAAAATGACATTCATTTTGATGGGACGTTTGTCACAATAAACATATTCTTGAATTGGCATCAATGACTGAAAAAAGTCATAAAATTTACTCAAATTTAAGTACACTGTATGAAATGCATACCCTGATTGGTAACATTATTTTAAGCATATGAAATGCCTTGTTGCTTGATAAACTTGATACAGAATATGTAATGCCTGCCCTGATTGGTAACTTGATACAGCATATGTAATGCCTGCCCTGATTGGTAACTTGATACAGCATATGTAATGCCTTCCCTGATTGGTAACTTGATACAGCATATGTAATGCCTTCCCTGATTGGTAACTTGATGTACAGCATATGTAATGCCTGCCCTGATTGGTAAGTTGATACAGCATATGTAATGCCTGCCCTGATTGGTAACTTGATGTACAGCATATGTAATGCCTGCCCTGATTGGTATCTTGATGTACTAATTTTACTTACTCATGGTTTCTTATTTCAGGGTCCAAAAAAACTAAAGAAGGAACTGCTGCAGCAATTGTGTTACAAATTCTGTTTTGTTGTTTGTTGTCATTATGTGGAGTGAAAATACCAAGCTGGGCATCTGTGATATTTGCTGTGGTTTGCACATCATTATTGGAGTCGTTTACCTCTCAAATCGATAACATTATATTGCCATTGTTTATGTATTGTGTCTTAGCTGTACTTTTATGAAATGAAATCAAATAAACATATATTTATATTTAAATTATTGTGTCATTCTTTGTATGCAAGTGTGGTTCATAATGTTCAGTCATGATGCATTTTTTTCCTGTTTAGTGGATGATGACATGGAGCATGGAGTTTGCTGTTTTTGTCACACGGCGTTATCCTGTTCAGCTCCAGTGTCTGACAGAGTGTGCATAGAGGTTGCTGTCTTTGACACATGGCGTTATCCTGTTCAGCTCCAGTGTCTGACAGAGTGTGCATAGAGGTTACT